TCGACAACTCCTGTCGAGCGTCAAAAGCTACATTAAAGGAACACAGGGGTCCCATTATGTATCGTAATGCTGATCATTCCGGTTTCGTCGCCCTTGCTCTCTAGGATGGTCATTACTTTAACAACAGCGATGTCACGGTGGTCGATCGACATTATGACCAAATGAGGCTGTTCATTAAGATTAAGGAGTCGCAAATGCAGAACTTGCAACGGTTGCGTCGGTTCCATTGACATTACCGCGGCGTGAAGAATGGTTAATTGCTTAATTAACGAACCGGTCAAGAATCTTACCAGTCAGGTCAAGCAGCAACTGACTTAGCAATTTATTTTTTTATTCTTGTGAATTCCTTGCCGATGATCGATGTCTATCTGGTCGAAACATTGGAATAGTTGCAACAAAAATTTTTCTTGTTTTGGCACTGCCGGCCATAGAATCCGAAGCCATATTAATTCAAGTCATCTACAGCGTGGTACTGTTATGAGTCTTAAAAATTATCATCTAACATTTGATAAAAAAAATAACTAAAAATATCAAATAACTTATATGTTGCCTGAAAAGATTTGGTCTGAGCTTACTGTTAGATCAAACTTAATTTGTGTAACCAAAAAGTAAAAGCATACAAAGAAAATAATAAGAAAGAAGTTAAAATAAGTTAGAATACAAGTAAAAATAAATGAGTAAAAGTTGTCAGTTATCTATTAGGGTTTTTCCATCGATTGCACTTTATGTCAATCAAATGTCCCACTTATACCGGTTATGTGTTTGCGATTCACGGTGTCCATCGCATAGCTCTTTTTTACGTCTCTGTACAACCAGAATATGGTAGGCTCTGGAATGCCGAGCGGCTTCGTGCAATTAAGCGTTAAAGAATCGCCCTCGTTGACCGGTATGTTCTGAACTGGCCTACTTGAGAAATGGTCGAGCACTGAAATTTCAGAATTCACACACGCCTCTTCATCTGTCTTCTTCACATTTCTCTTACCTCCAACCTTCACCTCGAATATGTTCGACATGGCGACGCCAAAAATGTTTGAAACGTTGCACTGGTAAAATCCTTGGTCGCTTTCCTCGGGGTGAAGAAAAGTCACCGTGCCCGATTGGCCAGGTCTTTGCCATACGATTCGCGTTTCGTCGATAGGAAACAAAACTCCATTCTTGTACCAAGTGTACCTAGAAAAGTGGGCAATGAGGAAACAAAAAAAAAGTTGTAGCATACGAACTGAGTAACTTTGCCACTGTTAAAGCAATAGTTGATAACACGAAATGACTGCTTCGGTTTTGAAATTTTTGTCATCGAATTTGTACACCGCATCCTAAAAGTCTGCCTGTTTCTCTCTATGCAATGAGCATCCGGTTGTTCCAATCCTGTCGTCCCGTATATCCCTACATCTTGGTGCAATATCAAAATCTGCAAACACCTAGACTCCAATGGAACTGAGATACAATTCATTCGTTGCTGCTTTGGCTCTCATGATAAACGACCTATGGTTTGTTGCCGATAGATGGTATAAACAGCTACAACCGAGTAACGGGCACTTAGGCGTATCGCTTTTTGTTGCTGTTCGTTTGTGTTGAAGATGCATTGTTGGCATGTTGTACATTTAAACAATTGAATGTATACGTATATACGTTGCTTAACTTAGCTAAAAACAAGAATATCAGTTGAAGCTTGTTGGAATAGAATATGGTCAGAAATTAAGTTATGATTGTCACTAACGAATTTTCGAGAACAACTAAATTTTGCCTCTGCATTGTACAAAGCAAGCCGCGGGTATGGTAAGCTACGTTATAATAGCTATCCAGGCGAATGGCGCTAAAAGGTAATTTCTTCCAATCAAGACAACTGCACTGAAAGCTAACAGAATGATAGCCGAACTGAGAACCACAACCTCCCCAGAGATTCTTTGAAATCACAGTCGTTTGAGCATACGTCCTTAAAGTAATATTCTCTGTCCAAAGAAATGATAATAATCATAATACCAGAATGAACTGTAGATGAAAGTATTTTCTCTCCATCTCATGACCATAATTAAAACCTGCAGTGAACTTGAAAACACAGTGAAAACAAAAGCTAGTGAATCGGAGTGACAAACTGGCAAACGCTGAAAGTCGCTCTCTATTCATAGGAATGATCATATTTCCATGCAAATCGACTGCGACGGTATATTTTACAGATTTTCAAACTTTTTATCGTCCTAACTACCAAACGGGAGCTTTATTTATTACGATATCACCCTCTAATCATTTTCCGGTTCTTTCATTCATCCTGACCACGAATCATTCGTTCCGTTCATGGGCAATATCATACTGCGAAAAGATTTCCCCATGCATTGCTGAGGATTTGTACGGACGTGATCTTCAACATGTTCGCTTGGATTTGCTGTCACTGCATTATAATCCTAGACAAATGTGCCTTAAGGGCGAAAGGAAGCCTCTTAAAGTTAGAGAATGACTGATTCGCTCACTGATTGCTTCAGGTCTTCCAGGACAAGGAGAATGTCTTCGATCATACTTTCTGACGACTGTCAAACGCGCTGAGGATCGATTTTTGACAGATTTGACAGGCTGCTTAAAACAAAACTTTCTACGATGGAATTAGTGAGGAAATAGCGAGCTAAAGAACGCACTGACTAAAAACTGGAATAAAGCTAAGGAAGTCACAAACTGTATCAAACGGTATGATGAGGCATGATCATCATTCCGCCTCATCGCAGAGAAAGGGTAACGAAGATGATGAAGGTATCGAGATGATCTAATATCGCAATACAGCAGACGGCATTCTTTCTAGCAATGGACCTCATGGAACACAACTTACTGAATGCTTCTAGGAGGAACGACTTCCAATGTTTCGTGTCACCATCTGCCATTGCATTCTGTCTTGTGTAACATGCGATAGTGTTACAAGTCAATCTGTGCCAAGCTTGGTTTGTGACCTGTCGATGAGTGCGGTCAGGCTCTGTTGTAGGCACTCAGATATTTTCTAATCATGAATTCTTCGACCTGTCCTCCTACAGTCAAAGATAGGTTCTTTAAATAAGAATTTCACATAACTGTCCGTACATTGGGAAATAATCCTGTCGAGCATACGAGAGTCATGAATACAACGCAATCGGCGTGGTTAATATCCATTCTCAAGAAGCACCGCACGTTATGCATTCTACTGTATAGATCATGAATGGCGAGTGACATTAATGGAAATGCGCGTAGGATAGAAATAAACATCAAACGGCTATTTTCTGACCATGTACGGAAATGACTCGATTTTGTAGTAATTAAACCGCATGGACCTTGGGTCTGCACCTCACTGTAGAAATGGACTTAATAAAATGAATAAATGGACAA